GCGCATGCGCCCTATAGCAAAAACCTCTCCAAAAAAAAAAAAGAATTTGCTCTCCCTGGACAGAGAAGGGATTGCAGCATGATGACGCCCCATGGGGGAAGCTTTCTTCCTTTCCCTCTCTCTCCTTCTCTCTGGTGTGCACATGTGCCCTTGGGCGATTAAATACATAGTTAAAAACAAAGAGCAGGTACCCTTGCTGGGTCCAAACAGTGGCACAGCAGCGACAGCACACTTCATGGCTGACCCACACAGTAAGATTCTGGGTTTGCCAGACACCTCCTCGAACGTGCTGGGTGCATAGGCACACATGCCCATGGTCCCAGCGGGCCGAGACTGGGTGTGGATCACAGCATGAGAACCCTGTGGGGTGCTGCTATCTCTTTGTCTCTTTGTCTCTGTTCCTCTGTCTTTCTTATTCGTGGAAAAAAGAAATAAAGAAACTTAAACAAACAAACAAACAAACACGCTCTCCCTGTCGAGTGACGCCTGTGTTTCCGTAGGTGTCTTGTTAATGTGACTGTTTCTTGCCCATCTCAGGCCGCCAAAGAAGAATGGTCTCAGACCCTCTGGGTCAACCTGAATGTCCAGTTCCTCCAAGAAGGCATCGAGGGTTTCCTCAAGTCACTCAGGAAGCTGCCCCGGCCAGTCCGGGGCTTATCGGTGGCGTACTATTTGGAATCGAGGATGAAGGCATTCAAAGACTCGATTCCTTTACTTCTTGACTTGAAACACGAAGCCCTGAGAGACAGGTTTGTGGTGTCCTCTGTGAGGCGACGTGAGAGGATGGGGGAGCTTGGAGCTGATGGTGTGTCCCTCGGTTTTCACCTGCTCAGACCCGATGACCAAGTGCAGGGTTTAATGGTGACGCAGGCACACACGTGCAAGAGGTCGTGTAGAATATGTTTCTACAGAGTGATCAATGGCAAGGGCTCTTAAAAGAAACTCTCATCCGATGAACGGTGGCAATGCCGTTGCTTCACTCGAAGATTGAAAAAAAACAGCGAAGGGCCCGAATCTGCCTGGTCCAGGAGAAATGCCAGGGGGCTCACATGTGCATTGACAGCTTATGAAAGAGTAAAATGAATTTCAATAATTCACTTTCATTAGCATAGTACAGCCCTGGGAACTCGGGGTGTGGAGTGCCGGGTCCAACGCCCTCCAGTAAGCACCAGGATTTTAATATTCATTCACTTTCAGGCATTGGAAAGAGCTGATGGAAAAAACGTCCGTCTTTTTCGAAATGACCGAAACATTCACCTTGGAGAACATGTTCGCCATGGAGCTTCACAAGCACAAGGACGTCCTCAACGAGATCGTCACGGCGGCCGTCAAGGAGGTCGCCATCGAGAAGGTGGGGCTGTGCTTGCAGAACCATCTGGAGAAGAAAACCGTTCTTCCATTCAGAGAGGAACCGTGTTTGCTCTAGTGAGAAGGAGTTATGTGTTGTAGACACAGAATTTCTGCCTGTTATAGTTTTTATTGTTGTACTTTCCGTTTTTTAATTGAAGAAGTAATGAATGGTAGAAAATGGAAGAAAAACCCCAAATCACTCATAATCCAACCACCTGAAGAAAATTACTATGAACAGTTTAGTGATATCCTCCTCTACTTAAAAATGAATGCACACATGTGTATGTATGCGCATATACATACACATGCGCTACGCACTCACATGTGTATATGCACACACAACCACTTGCATATGTGTACACAAATGTACATATGACATATGCACATACCACATCACACACATATGCATCATACACATTCATCTGTCTACACATGCCGTGCATATATTACACGATACATACATGCATACTGATACAGATTTTCATTTGGAGGTAGATGGCATATTATTTCCTAAGTCAATTTTCTTTCTTCCTTTTTTTTTTTTGAGAGGTTTTTGCTAGAGGGTGCATGCGCTCGCCAGAAAGACAGAGACAGAGAGACAGAAAGTGAGGAATCACTCCCCAGGGGGGATGACCACGCCGCAATCTCATCTCCTCCATTCTCCTCTCGGGATCTTGGGCACACACGCACATGCCTGAGTTTAAGTCACCTGGGTCCGGGACTCAAACCACGGTCGACTACATGGGAGTCCAGCGACATAGCCATTACGCTAACTGCTGGTTCCCTGTAAGTTGGTTTTCTCGCCTGACAGTGGAGTAAGCCCGGGGCAGGACCACCTAAACAGGCTCGGCGGGCAGACTCGACAAGACCTGGCCCTGGCTCAGGGCTGAGTGCCTCGGAGAGCGGCTTGCCCTCTCTGAGCTGCAGCTCTCTGCTCTGCAAATGTGGGTAATCGTCATCCCCACAGCGCTGGGATCCAGGGAGGGTGAAATGAGTGTGTGCGCAACCTGGCACCTGGGGTGCTTGGCGGGAGGTGACTGCGCCATCGAGACCAAATCCTGACTCCCCAGGACACTGGGCTCTAGCCAAGGAGGGGGGTGAGCTGGAGTTCTGCTTTTCAGTTAACGTGCCTGAATCGTTCTTTTTCTATTCCTGACCAGGCTGTGAAGGAGATTCTGGACACCTGGGAAACTATGAAATTCACGGTGGTCAAGTATTACAAAGGCACACAGGAGCGCGGCTCCATCCTGGGGTCTGTGGACGAAATCATTCAGTGTCTCGATGACAACACTTTCAACCTGCAAAGCATCTCGGGAAGCAGATTTGTGGGGCCTTTTCTGCAGACTGTTCACAAGTGGGAAAAAACATTGTCTCTGATCGGGGAAGTTATTGAGGTGAGAGGAAAGACGAACCAAAGATAGATTAGAGCCAATTCATTGTAGGACAGATCTTTTACATGAGAATAGTTTGTGCTTAGAAATGGAATGATCTCGCACCTTTTTTCCTTTTCTCTCTCTCTCTCTCCTTCCTTCCTCCCTTCATCTGTTTTAGTTTTTTGCCATAGGGCATATATGCACACCAGAGAGGAGAGACAGTGAGAGGGAAAATGAGAAATCTCCCCACATCCCTGGGGGATGCCTATACCACAGTCCCTTCTCTATTCTCCTTCGGGGATTTTGGATACACACTCACATGTGCCCAGCATGTTTTCTAAACCTCCAGGTCCAGGATTTGAACTGTGGTCGGCCATGTGGGAATCCAGTGCCTCCACCATCACGCCACCTGCTGGCCTCAAATGTGGTTGCACATTTTAAAATATCTGGTTGTATTTCTCCTGTGTGGAGTGGAGGGCTCTGGCCAGGCTTGGGCTGCCCCTGCCATCTTGCCCTGGAAGTCCTGAGACCTGGAGGGATGCTGCTCTGTCCTGTGTTAGGGCTGGGTTCTGCCATGCACTTCGACGTCCCTGGTAACCCCTGCTGACCTTGATATTGTGTCTTTATAGATTTGGATGTTGGTTCAGAGAAAATGGATGTATCTCGAAAGCATTTTTATTGGTGGAGATATAAGATCACAACTTCCAGACGAGGCGAAAAAGTTCGACAACATTGATAGAGTGTTTAAGCGGGTAAGTGACTGGCTTCCATCTTCGTCATGGAAGGAGGGTGGTGGCTCGAGATGCTTTTATTTTATATCTCTCTCTCTCTCTCTATCTATTTATTTATATTTTTTCCAAAAACTGCACTCACCAGAGTAAGAAAGAGAAAAGTGTGCTAAATCTGCACTCACCAGAGTAAGAAAGAGAAAAGTGAAAAAGCATCTCCTGGTGGGATGGCCATGCGGCAATTCCTTCTCCTTTCTCTTCTTGGGATTTTGGGCACGCATGTATCGTGCCCACTGCGATGTCCAAGCAGCTGGGTTGGAACTTGAACCAGGCAGTCAGCCGTGTGGGGTACGGCCACCCTAACCTGCCCACCTTCCTCTGTTTAGGAGTTTGTTTGACCTTTAACTGTTGCCATGTGACACAGAAACTTTACATGTTTAATTTTACTATAGTAGTAACATTTGTTGTGTCCTGCCAGCCGCACACGGCTATTCCGGGAACAGGACAACATCTCTGCTTCTGCTTCCCTGGCTTGACAGTTTTCTTCTCGTCCTTCCCAGATCATGAGTGAGACCTTAAAAGACCCCGTGATCAAGAAATGCTGCGAGGCCCCGAACCGCCTGAGCGACCTGCAGAACATCAGCGAGGGCCTGGAGAAGTGCCAGAAGAGCCTCAATGACTACCTGGACTCCAAGAGGAACGCCTTCCCCAGGTTCTTCTTCATCTCGGACGACGAGCTGCTCAGCATCCTGGGCAACAGCGACCCGCTGTGCGTGCAGGAGCACATGATCAAGGTAGGCCGCCGCGCCCTCACCGCCGGCTCTGCCCGGCTCTCCCGCTGCCAGCATGAGCCCCAGCTCAGCCTGAGCATGGCCGCTGCGGCTCTCATTCCGCCCAGAGAGCCGTGACCCTCGCAGTAGGAGTGACCCCGGAGGTCGGCTGTTACTTGTTGCTCGGTTGCCTGTCCGTCCGTCCTTCCTCCCTTCCTTCCTTCTATCCATCCGCCCATTCATTCATTCATTTGTAATCTGACCAGAGAGGTACACACAGAAAGAGAGAAGGCGAGAGAGCAAGCTGCCAGATCCAGGATTCGAACCTTGGTTGGCCATGTGGGAGTCCGGTGCCCTTAACCACCACACCACCTGCTGGTCCCCTTGTTGTTCTTTTTCATAGCCGCAAGCTTGTTTTTTGAGAAATTAAAAACATTCAGACATACACAGAGACTAACAGAACAAACAGTGAGGCAAGAGAGGGCGTGGTTTAACGTGTGGATGCCAGGCCCAGCTCGCCTCGCTCTGCACCGATTTGCTGAGTGACCTTTAGCATGTTGTTTACTGTCTCTGGGTGCCAGGGCCCTCACCTGTAAATGGATATATCCCGAACACTGACTGTTTCGGTAGGATTGTTATAATGTGAAATGAGCTGATTTTTCTTCTTTTTTTCTTTTTTACTTGAGAGAGAGAGAGAGAGAAAGCACCTCCCCATGGGGCATGGTCATGCTGCAATCCTTTCTCCTCCATTTCTCCATCTTATTGGGATTTGTGGGCACACATATACCTTCCTAATGTTTGTCAAGATGCCAGGGCCAGGATTTGAACCATAGCTGGCCAGGTGGGATTCAGCTCCCTTAACCACTGGGCTATGGGACCAACCCTAGTTTTATTCTTTATTGCCTGTTGCTTTTCTCTGCTCCTCTCTTTCTGAATTGCCGGGGGCCTGGGTGGCCTTGAAATGACAGTCACTGAGTGGGTGTCGAATGTGCCAGCTGTCACTCGCTCTGTTAGTTGTGAGTGCCTGCCTTATGCTTATTCTGGGCCGAGCGAGGAGAAGCCAAGTGCCCGGAGTCACCCGACCGGACAGTGGGAAGTGGGGCTCCCAGCACACGTCTCTGACCCCAGCCCGGGGCATTTAGTTGCCCTCCTGCGCTCTCTAAACTCAGCTGGTAATGGTCTGGAGCCCTCCTGGGGCCTGCGTGTGCACCATGGAGTCCCAGGTGTTCGGGGTGGAGTCTGTCTGCTTTCTCTTCTCTCCGTGCGCAGGTCTGTGTGCAGTGCAGGGTGAACAAAAGCACCCTGTCAACACCTGCCGATGAAACACACGACGGGGAGAATTCACGTCTACACGGCAGCTGCTGGAGCTTGCCGTGCCCGCTCCGCCGTGTGGGGGAACCCCGAGGCCGGCCTGTGACCCCAGAACCACATGCAGGCATTACCGCGTCCGCTCTGTGTGTTGCAGATGTATGACAACATAGCAATGCTGAGGTTTCATGACGGGGACAGCGGAGAGAAGCTGGTGTCTGCCATGATTTCGGCCGAAGGCGAAGTCATGGAGTTCCGGAAGATCGTTCGGGCAGAAGGCCGCGTGGAGGACTGGATGACGGCCGTCCTGCAGGAGATGCGAAGGACGAACAGACTGATCACCAAAGAGGCCATTTTCAGATACTGCGAGAACGAAAGCCGGTGAGGCCTGGATGAGGACGTGTGTGAGCTATCCTAGCGGTAGTCGTCGGGCCCAGCCGTGGTGCGTGGGTAGGGCCTCTGCTTGGGAGGCTGGAAGCTGCACGAGAAGCCCAGGTTCGGGTCCCAGGCCAACCTGACCATGCTGAGCAGGGCTGCACAGGCCTGCAGTCCTGGCTACTCCTGTCCGAAGTGCCTGTCACTGCCTCTCTTTCCTTCTCCCTTCCGTCTCTCTTAAAGGAAAAAAATACACCCCGAACAGATGACCGTCACAGGCTTGGGGTAGACTAGCTGACGCGCCAAGCGGCTTCCTCCCTCCCGCGGGCGCTAACTGGCTGACACGTGCCTGTCTCCACCGTCAGCGCGTGCTGTCCTTCCCAGCGTGCATGCCTGGGCCTGCGGCAGGACCTTGGGGCTGGTTAGAAACCTGCATTCTCGGGCTCCTCCCCACACCTGTGTGTCAGAAACAGGCCCGGTCTGTGTTTTTCTCAAGCCCTGTCCGGGATCCTGAGCACCCTCAAGCGTGAGAACCAGCGGCTTAGCGACCCGGCAGCGGCCAGGGCTGTGGAGTGCATGCGCTGTGAGTTACGAGAAAGTGCCTCTGACGTGCTCGGTGATCCCTTGGTTTCTGTGGCTGGAGGAGAGGCAGGACCACCCAGCCACGCC